TTCAACATTAAGAACTCTTTTTAAATATATTTTTGTCAAAATGTTCTCATGTTGAATGACCTTCGGGGAAGGAACACCAAGCTTCCCCACCTTAGATTTATCTTTACTTACTAGACTTTGGTTTTGACTTTGACTTGTTTATTTTTCTTCATTCATGTTATTTATCATTTGGACTTGATTCTCTACCACTTGAGATAGTGAGAAAGAATGAAATACAAATTTCTTCTCCTTGTGAGTGAAGGTAATCTCATTGGTAAAACCATTATGCATGGTTCTTTTGTCATATTATCATGGTCTCCTAATAAGATGTGACAATCATCCATAGCGTCAACCCATAGCTTTGAAGAAATAATGAAGAAGATGTACTTATCTCTTGAATAATGTCCAACCATGGTTATAGATACCACAAGGTGAGTCCATTTTCAAGCAAATTCCTATGCGTATGACTTGAATGGAGCTTGGAAGGAGTGTGGTGCGAAAGCAAGGAGTAAAGAGAGGATAAGCGATTTGGTTGTGGTGAGTAGAAGGTCTCTCAAGAGAGGTGAGACCAACTCTAGAGAAAACCTAAGAAGGAACTCTAGCCTAAGATGATTTACAAAAGTAAAGTCTAGAGTCATCTCAATAAAATAACTTTACCACACTCATGAATGAATTTACAAGGTCTAGACTCCTTTATTTATAGGAACAAAGGAAAACTAGTGTCTCCAAAAAAGAAAGGGAAAATTTGAGTCTAGAAAAGCTGAATTTTGGAGCCAAAAGAGAGAATACAACAAGTGTGACTCGCCACCAAGCAAGTCACACCTCTCATGCTCATGAGGCGCACAAAGGACAACTCTAACCTAGCCTGGTCTCTAAGTTTGTACATACTAGGGTAACAAACCCTAATTTTATGTGTCTCACTACCAAGCCCAAATTCCAAGCCTATCTCCTTTTAGGCCCAAAGTTACCTATTAGACCCAATGCCCATCAAGGCCCAATTATATGGCCCAAAGAAAAACCCTATACTAGAGTACAAGGCTCAAAATTAAACATATTCTAATATTTACAAATATAGAGTCATAGGCTAGGTCTTCACATCCTCCCTATCTCATGTGAACTTCAAGTTGGGTCTCATGCTCAGAAGAGGCATAATATTCTAGTATCCTTCTAGTCATAGCTCTAGTTGTGGGTCCTTTAGCAAGAGGTATGTCATCATAAGGAAGAGACATTTGAAGAAAAGATAGCCTAGTTGATGCAAGATCAAGAGCAATAGAAAGAATGCATACACCGATAAGAATAGCATACAAATCTTATTTTATAGCACATTTAGTTGAAGAATATTATGTTAAACTCTTTTGATCCTCCTACCAATAGAGATGATGTAATAGACGTTCTAGTGATGGTAGTCAACATGAAAATTAATTTGATTTAATTATATGATGAAAAACTTGCATATGTATTTAGAACTAATTTCATTTTAGTTTTATGTTGGATCATGTTATATACTTTTTACTATATCGAGCTTATTGTTATTTAGTATAATTAAATATGCAACATTTATAAGGAAGTAGAAAATTTAATATAAGTGGGTTGATTTAGCCACCAATTTAGTCAGTAGTTTATCCACTAATACTATTTTAGTTGAATTAAACCTTATATATTTGCGACTGAATTAATGATTGAAAATAATTTTATTAAATTAAAATTTGTTCTTATTATAGATTAGAAGTTTGATGCTAAATTGGTCTCCAATATTTCAAGGTGACCAAATTTTTAGTGACCGATTAATAACTACAATTTCGGCTGTGGTTATTTAGCAATCAATTTTAAAATCAATGATTAACTATTTTGCGACTAAAATTTTCATCACTATCTAATTTTTATGTCAAATTCGGTAGTTAAGGATGTATGTGACCAATTTTCCCCTAATTGATTTCTTTGATGACTAATATATATATATATATATATATATATAAATAAAAGTGAAGATATACATTTTAGTATTAGGAGTGAATATACAACTACTGCACTATTGCATTTTTTTTTTCATCGGCAAAATATTTTGCATTTTATGACTCTTTTCCTCTCAATATTTTGGGTAACTTTCAAAATCCATATCAAATTTCTCATGAAATTCATTTATTGCTTTTTTATAGAGAAAATCCTTGAAACTACATATGTTTCCTACCATAAGAATTATTTTCTAATTTGTTATCTATAATTTCTCGGACCACCTTGTTTATAATATATAAAATATTTTTACACCTTCGTTTAATCGGAAATTACGATGTTTAAGTTTGCGTACTTCTAAATAATTACATTAAAAACTATATTAAATATTTCTATAAAAACAATATTATAAATTTGGTGTATAGGATTCATATATGGCTTTTAAAGTCTAGTTTTAGTGATACATGCATTAAGAGTTATATTTAGATTAAAAAAAATACCTTAACATTTTTGTATCTATTAGTAACTGAAAACTAGTATAGTGTTAAAAGAAATATGATATATAAACTGCTTTTAAATTGCAAGATATAAAAACTGAATTCATTCTATTTTGTATTTTTTTTTCTTCTTCTTCATTTCTATATAAAAATTATCTACATATATGAAAAAAAAAATATTAAGAAAAATCCTCTCTTGTTTTCCTTTTATCTCCCTCAATTGTAAACTAATTATACAAAATAATATTTTTCAAGGCCCTTTCATAAATACATATAGAAAGAGAGAAAGTTCCATTATTTTGTACAATAATTTTCTATATATATATATATATATATAACACTTTTTTCTGCTAAATGTTGAGAGTATGTATGGGACCCCCCGATTTTGTATTTATCGAAAGCATTAAAATACTATAAATTGATTGTTCAGAGAATGTCATCCAAATTGTAAAAGAAAGAAAGAAATTTTAATAAAGTAATTAAACACATATGCTTATTAGGTTAGGCACCTAAAGAAAGTTGTTTTCTGAACGTGATATATTCTAGAATACATTTGAAAGGGATCAAGCTTTTCATCAAAATTTTAAAAAACACAAATTATTAGAAAACATTAAGAATAATGGTCATAATAGCAATAATCATAGGAAGAGAAGAAAAAGAGTAAACACGACATGAAACGTAACGAGCCTAGTTGAATGATGAAGTTGGAATATTGGAGAAAAATAAAAGTGACATATGATGAGGTTATAGCTAGCAACATCGTTTTCATTGGGACACTGATGATTATTCGATGGAGGCTCCTCATTGGTTGGTGAACCCCAACATCATCATTCTTCACCCTCCCTTGTTTTCATGCAACAAATCAGGGTTTTCTGATTCAGAAACAAGCATGTAAATATGTGTACTTCTTCCATTTTCCATTTTTCTTTCTTTCATTCTTTCTTTTTATTCCCTCCATCACCCCTTTTAGATAGATAAGCATTGTTATTATGTTTATTATTATTATTATTGGTATTCTCTTTCACTCTCTACACCTTTTCCATTTTTGCACTCTTTTTTCCCATGAAAGAAAGGGGAATTAAGAAAAACGCCAAGAGCAATTTGTGGTAGTGCAATAAAACAAAAGGAGCCGAAGAAGTCTCAACCATATATTTATAATATTATATTAAAAAAAAGATGGTTAAGTTTTCCTCAAGCATGAAACCACAATGAAAGCTTTGCTTTGAATGGAAAGGAATGTGCATTAGCATGTTTTCCATTTGATCAAATGAAACCCCCAAAAGCTCCATACTCACGAGAATCATCAACCCTTTCTTTTCTTCCAATATTCGATAGCATGCTCTTACCCATTCCTTCGCCACCTTACTAGCTACATATATATCCCATTATTCACACATATATATTTTTATATTCATACCATAAATAAATAAATATACACATCACCCTTATTTTCTCACACCCCTTTTCACCCTATTGCGTTTAATCCCTTCCCTCTTATCCCTTTCTTTCTTCACACACTCACTTTGTTTCCACTTTTGTTCTCTTCCTCCCATCTTATCACTTTAGCCTCAATTATGTGCCTAACCTACACACAAACGGGTAAAACAAGGGAATGAAAATACTAGGTACACATTCAAATATTCTATTAAGTGTATATATATATATATATACGTATATATATGTACATGGTCATTCATTGATGGATGGCTTGAGCAAGGTGCATGTATATACCCACAAGGCATGTACATGATTCGTATGTGTACGAAACATGTATAATTTGAACAAATGTCGTAAAATAGATTTAACACAACAACAACTCAAAGTGTGGAGTGTTGGGTAGGTAGACATGTGGTGACTAGGTTTCTTTAGACACAAGATTCAAGCGGCAGTCAAGAAACCTAGCATTGTTGATGTTTTTGTTGTTGGTTTCAGTAAAACAGTTTGAAATAATTATAATAGTGTGTCTTTCTGTCCTTTAAAAATATTCTGGAAATTCCACCATCAGAGGCATCTTCTGCACGGATTCTGGGAATTAGTCACGTGCTTCATCAACTTGATTAATTACCCTTCATTACTCATTCATAGTTTCTGTCTTGACATTAAACAATTCTCATTATTATGTATGGTTAATAACTCAAGTAATAGTCCAAAGTAGAATTTCTTGCAATTTAAATATAATTGTGAGTACCCATTTGTCCATTTATTTATAATTAATATGAAAATTTCTATTTTAATTATCAAAAGCATCTCGAAATTAACTTTAAAGGGTAACAATAGTCAAACCTTGGTGGGAGGCACTAGCAAGGAAGCCACAACACATCCTTTAACTTCAAAAGTTGAAAAAACAAATGCATTTCCTTGGGAATTAATTCTCGCCACTCTTGGTGAGATGTCAAAGAAATATTCCACACAGCATAAAATATATATTAAGTGTACCGCAAATGAAGATCATTGAAGGGCATGAAAATATGGTTCCTAATAAGTACTTGAAAGTAGTATTGCACTAGATTCGTTACAATTAAGAGAATTAAATACAAATGATGGAACTGAAAAACAAATAAAGACATTAATTAATTAATAAAATAAACCCACTAATTTATAACAAAAGAAAAAAATGTACATGAGCATCATCAAATCCTTCTCCTTAATTGATCTACTCAATAAAAACCTAACTATAACAAGACCTGGATAATCTATTTAATCAATCATAAATCTATACAGTATAAGTATCCCAGAACCTTTTCCATGTCTAACATATAACATATATCTCTGTATATATATAATCAGAAAATAGATAACTATGGTATATATAATATATATATACCATAAATGAACAAACTTGCTTTGATTAGTTTCTTGCTTGATCATGTGTTTTATTTGATCTTGTTCAGTAATCATCCCAGAGGCAATCCAAATCTGAGAGGGTAGCAACTGATGAAGGAGCTTGATCAAGATCCTCGTACAATGCCTTGTTCCTTCCCATGTTGTCTTGCTTTGACACCACCGAGGAAGTGTCAGTGTTTCTGTCGTTACTGAGGCACGTGTCTTGAGAGGCACTGACCACAGTGTTGGAGAATTGCTCCCTCTTGCACTGCTGGAAACTGTTGTTGCCTTGGTGCATATAGTAATCTTGGAACATGTTGAAGGGTGAGGTTGTGTTTTGAAGGGGGTTATGATTGCTTGTGCCAATTCCCATTGGGTTGTTGTTAGAGTTGAGATTCCCTTGGCAGGTGGAGGCATAGTTAACGTTGGTGAGAGGTGTCTCACAGATTCTGTGTTCTTCAGGCTTCATCATCATCATCATCTTCATCTGCATGTGATGATTGTTGTTGATGAAATTGGGAAGGTAATAGGGTGGTTCAGCCGCTGCTGATGATGAAGCTGATGAAGGTGTGTAAGTGTTAGTACTATTACTAGTACCCTTGAAATCATTGTCAATGTGTTTTTTGTGTGAGGGTTGATCAAAGAGAGGATCCACAAGAGGTGGAAGTGAAGAGAAATCAAATAGATCTTCTCCTACTGAGTTCATTCTCAGAAGGCCAATGCCAGGGTTAATTGGGAGTACCCTTTTGTTAACATCAGTGTTGCTCTTGTGGAAAACCTTGCACACAACCCATTCATCCTGGAACAGAAGCAACACCCCCAAAGAAAAAAAAAACGAAAAAAGTAAGTATATGTAGCTGCAAGAATCTCAACAATTGAACTATATAAAGCAAAAGGTACACTCTCAGAGGACCACCTCAGAAAGAAAACTCTCAAAACAACAGAAAAAGGCACTTTTCTAAAAAGTGATGATTGAAATTTAAAAGCCAGGGATACTTGTGTGAGAAAGAAAATCCATGATCATTAAACAATCTGAACCTTTTCCATCATCAAAATCCAGAGAGAAAAAATGGCATGTATGAAAAAGGAAAGAGAGAGAAAGAATTATACCTTTGCAGCCTTGGGAAGGTTGTAACATGCGAATTTTCCTTCCAATCTGAATTCGTGCATAACCCAATTTGTTTTCTCTCCCTTTGGGGCTCTTCCTCTATAGAACACAAGGGTCTTCTTCATCCCCACAAGATTGTTCTTCCCTTTGAAAATCTCTTTGTCCTTCCCAGTGGCCTTCCAATACCCAGATTGTGTTGCTCTATTGGTTCTCAACCCTGTTGGATACTTCCTATCCATTTGGCAGAAGAAGTACCAATCTTTCTCCCCCATCTTTGCTTTCTCTACACACCCAATACCCAATTCAGATCAATGAAAACGACAATGAAAGATGTTGCCAACATCATCGTCAGAATCAAAAACAAAGGTCAAAATCATAATTAACAAGAAAAAAAACAAGGTAACTCACTGGGCAAGTCCCAAGGCTCACACTTGTTCAAATCAGCTTCTCCAATAGCAGTTGCACTGAAGGCTCTATCCAGCACTTTCTCTGTGAGGTAACATGTGATGATCTCTTCATCTGTGGGGTGGAACCTGAAACCTGGAGGCAAATCCAAAGGCTCGTCTCCTTTGCTAACCACAACAGGTTCTTCCATCATCAAAATCAAAAGCCTTAAGCAACAACAACAACAACAAACTATCTAACTTGTTCTTCAAGAAGCAGATATATATGTGTGTATACACTGCTTGATGGCTTCAGTTATGTGTATGTATATGTATATATATAGATATATGTAGTATGTGTGATTCTTATATGTTATGTTAGATGAAAAAGAGAAGAAGAAGGGAAAGAAAGTTCAGAGAAAGAGGAAGAAAGAGAAGGAAATAGGCATAGCTAGGTAGATGTGATGAGAAGAAGAAAGTAAAAAGAAGAAAAGATGGTGTGCTTAAATAGAGGAGCGTCTAAACACAGCTCACACTTACACACGCTGTGAGATCCGTAGTGTAGAAGGCACTTATTCAACAAGCCCATAAATATTGCTTTATCTTTTTCTATTTTTTTTTTCAACTTTGTGTATTTGATTCGTATGTCCTATTTCTCTTTTTTTTTTTCACCTATTGCATATATTTTAACAACTTTATTTTATTTTTCCTTGTCAGGTCATTCATGTGATTTTATATTTTGCATTCCTTTTTAGGTTATTCTATGTGTAAAAAAGTGATAAGAAATTATGTAAGAATAAAAACTCTCTACTCTTTTTTTTACTTGGATACGTTTTCGATTTTATAAATAATAATATGTTTAATTTCCGTATTGATATACTTATTTGTTCCCTCTAAATGATGATATATATTAATAAATTATGAGTGATAAAAACCTTGTTAGTTTTAGTCATTTCTACAAATGAAAAAAAAAAACGTTTTTAGTTCTTTTAATTTTAAATATACATTATTTTCATAATCTATACTTTATATAAAGGGGGAAATGATGAATTTTGAAGGATGAAAAGTGGTGCTTTTAAAATTAAAAGATTAAAAGAAGACAAAAATATTAGAAAAGAAAAAAATAAAATTGAATAGTTTGTTTCAACTAATTAAAAACATACTTTAGTAAATAATATTTACGCAGCAGAAGATGATAAGTGTTCTATGACGATTATAATTGCTTGTCTTTCCTCTTAAAAAAATTATATTTTGATTCTATAACATTTGTCGTCACCCACTTTGATCTTCGACACAGCAGTCTATTAAAATCTGCTTACGTTAATGAATATTTATATGTTCAGAAGATCTAAAATAAATCATTAATTATATAAACTCTAATTAAAAAAACTATACGTACATAAATATAAAAAGAAATATTTTTTCTAGCAGGAAACCTCATTTAAGAAGAAAAACAAAAGAAGCTACCCATAAATATTCTAAGATAGATGAGAATATTTGTAGGCTCTCAAAATTCTAGCCAGATTAAAATAAAAATAAGTTAAAAAAAATATAGATAATTATTTGAAAAAATGTGATCAAATCACTAAAAGAAATAGTTTTTCTGATAAAAACCAAAGAAAATTGGTATGGAAAAAGTGAATAAACAAAAGGGTAGGACCCTGTTGTTTGTTCTTGCCCATCAATTTTCAAAATAAAAAGTTGTTTCCATAACTTTATTCACTGTGTTCATCCAAAAATTCAACCTAACATCACTGGAGAATTTTCATTACCTGTTTCCATCACCAGCATTTCCACCTTCTCACACAAGCCTCGCTCTTGAAAGCTTCTCAAGACAAAAACAAAGTTTATATATATAAAAGGAATGAACTTGGTTTTCTTATTGAAATTTTCCATTAAAAAATGTTTGATAATTAATATTATCACAGATTTTGTTGAATTTTTGTATTTGTCAACACACTTGCTGCCTCAGGTTGGTGGAGGTAGTTTTTGTTGGTAGCTGGCTTTGCTCAGCTTCTTCATTTAAGTTCACGTTGGCTTCTCGACTTCATTTGTTATACTAAAAACAATGAAAACAACATCTAAAATCAATTACTTTTAATATAATATAAGTTTAAAAGCAACTTTGCTTATTTAACATTTTTAAAGTTCGATTTTGTTTTTCTAAATTTTATTTGGTTTTCTAGTTCATGTTATGTTTTTAAATTTGTTTTTTTTATGGGTTATAATTATGAAGGTGGAAGTAGTTTCAGTTGGTTATTATATGGAGGTGCATGTGGAATTTTTGTTTTTTTATGTATATGTCAAACATGATATATAAAAGAAAATACGAAAATTGAAACTGTGAAATCATATTCCCACATAATTGATTATTTGTTAAAATAATTCATTGTGTTATATACTTTTAGCTTTCCGTGTTTAAAAAGAAGACGTAATAAACTATATTTATGAAAATATCTATTTTTTAATATTTTTATTAAAAGAGAGATTTGCACCTCATTTATATATTATATTAGTCGATGTATCATTTTCAACAATTTTGTAAATATTATAATATATAAAATAAAGTTTAATTAAAATATTTATTATTATTGTTTTTAATTCAAAAACAATTTTTTCACTGATTTTTATTTATTTATTTCATTTTCCCCACTTTTACCTTTGAATTTAAAGAAAGTGACAATCCACGGTCTCAAACTCATAAGTCAAGGAAGAAAAAAAAAAGATGGGAACGTCAATTTCGTAAGAGATTTCGGTGTTTGATTTTAGTAGGCAATATGATATAACTGTGCGATGAGGGAAATCTAAAATTAAGAGTATTTAAATAATAATAATAATAATAATAAACTGTCATATTATTATTACTTTTCTTTTCTTTTCTCGTTCAGTTTTACACTATTTTTCATTACAAGTAAACATTTAGAAACAACAAAGTTTTGTATATCTTCGTTCTCAAATAAAAATGAGCTCTTCAACTTCATTTTCATGAAAATAAGTCAACGATAGGCTTGATATCTACTAGTCAAATGAAGGTTAACACATGAAAAAAAAAATAAAATATATATATATATATATATATATATATATATATATATATATATATATATATATATATATATTTGTTTCAAATTTTGTGTACTTCTTTGCTTCAATTTTTATTTTTTGATTTCACTTTTAATTTATTAATTTCTATTACTAATATACAATATTCTTTTATAAAAGTATTGGTGATAAAAAAGAATCATTACAAAATTAATAATTATTTAATCAAGTATATGGTCGTGTTAAACTACCACCATTGTTTAAACAGAAACACATCACTTGAAATGGAAAAAAAAAACACATTATAAATAAAATAAAAATAAAAAATGTTTGAGTTAAAATGGTAAGATTAATGATTTGAGTGAGAGTTGTCTCTCACATACGGTTAGTTTACATGTTATTAAACAAGAGAATTATATCTCGCTTATTTTGAATTTATATGTTCGTAAATTATAATGAGATTGTGTCCATTGTAACGAATATTTGAGGATTGAAGCTACTTTAGTTAAAATTATCGCTTACACATTGTATTAGTTACACTTAAGTGTGGGTTGTATTGATTAAGCTTGACAATAGCTTGGTTTACAAGTTGGAAGTAGTTCATTTAAGCAAGAGTATTGTAACTTAAGAGAACTAATAAAATGATACACTTTCTATAGTAATCGATATTTGAAAAAAACAAACTAGTAATAAATATTAAAATCAACACATTACAATCATAAAACTTTCTTTCATGCTTAAACATGCTAGCATAATTATTAGGGTATTAAAATGAATTAAATTTTGTAACCATTCTTCCCTTGAGTATGGTTACTATCTTACTTTAAGCATGATAGACTAGTGGTCTCTATCACCCACAAAGGGTTTCCACCACCATTGTTTATCTTACACATTTTCTATTTTAGTAAAAAAAAAAAACTTTCTTTCTCAAGTAATTTTTATGTGATTGTTATTGTAACATATTGTCCTTCTTTCTTTAGTTATTTTTGTGATTAATATTGTTATTTTTGTTGCAATAATTTAATTTTTCTTTTTTTGTATATATTTTTTTTACCTCATAAATGGGATTGTGTAACATAAACTTGAGCAAAGTCTTGAACTAATATAAAAATGAGTTTTTACGACATTAAATAACAAAAATTGCCAAATAATATGTGGTAGCCTTTTTGTAGTTTTAGTGAAGTTTTTTACAATGGTTCCTCAACAACTGTCGTTTAAAGTGAGAGAGTAGAGAAATTACAACGGTTGTTTTAAAAAATCGTCACTAAAAATGGCACACTGAAGAAACAATGATAGTTTCCTACTACAATCATTATTAAAAAGTTTGCGTCAATTTTTCATATATCACTTTCTCTTTCTGTGGCTACATGCATTATTTTTCTCTCTCATTTTCACCTTCTTCTCATTTACATGGTTATCCAGCCTCCTCAATGTCCACATTGTCATTTTCGCTTGTGTTACTTGTTTTGTCGTCATTTGGATTCGAGTGCCCTATTGCTACGTGTTCTAATTTTGCCACCACTGCTATGTCTTTTACTCATGTTGTCGTTCGTTCGTGTCCCCTGTTACTACCACCATTAGTTCGAGCTCGACATTCAAATGCGAAGCTTTGTACCCTACAAATCTTCGCTGCATGTCATGCACTTTGTAACTCAAGAGGCTCCACCATACCACACCACTCAATCTTTGCATCCCACAAAGCTCCTTTGCACCATGTAGTTTTCACAATCTCTTTCTTTCTTATATGGAGATAACAAAGACTACTACATGAGTTATGGAGTCAACGTAAGCTTCTAAAAAGAAGTATCCTTCTTTATAAAGGAATTACTTAGTAAGTGACATGGTCAGGATATTCAGAAACATCCTAATGCGCTACTCAAAGCTCCTCCTCACCACACTACCATTGTCCCTCATCAATGGCCTTTTACAGCGTCAAACCTCTATTAGCAACTCACGTAAAACCTTATGCACTCCTTGTGAATAATTCACGAGACATTGACGCAACCTCCACAAGAAAACCCTAAATTTTTAAGGAAGGTTAAAATCTAGAACTGTTGCCATTTTTAACTTTTTTAACAATGGTTAAGAACCATCATGGATTCCCCAAACTTTTAACAGTGTCTAACATAACAACGGTCAAAAAATCGTCTTTAGATGCCTTATTTAATCGTTGTTAAAAGCGTTTTCCACAATAGTGTTGGATAGAAATGAGAAAGTAGAGCATTATATAAAGACAAAAGACTCGTTAACACATTATCTTAAGGTTTTGGGTAGAGAGTGGTGTCAATCCCTTATATGGTTGGGCTCATATCTCATTGGTGTTTGTATCTCCCAAGTGAACCTCCTCCTCGATAGACCCAACAATGGTATCAGAGCCGATGATTTGTCTTGGTGGTCGGCTCAAACGAATACAACGGTCCCTATATCGAAAGTCTTCCTGGCGAAGGGTTCCAGGTAAGCGTGTCTCGTTAAGAT